TAGCTCTTCTTCACAGCAAGTACACACAGACATTTATATGAAATGTCTGAACAGATCTAAGGTCCTACAGTTCAGGTTATCAGGTGTTAGGGTACAAATCAAAAGAGATTTGATTATTTGTTTTCTTAGTTGGTTTCTGTGTGCTTTTAAGCAGAAAGATTCCAGTTACTTTCTTCAACATACTCTCATAATGGTCTCAGGTAATATTCTGAATTATATGAAATAATTAGGATTAAGGTGAATTTGGTAAAAGCATAAAATTAATTAAATACTCAATACTACTACAGTTATCTAAAATGTGCTAGATGCCAATTCTCAATGGCTGAGATTCTAGAACAGCTCTCAAAGTGTAAGCCAGATATAGTTCAAGCACTGAAATAATAATTGCACAAATCAGAATGCCAGGTTTTATACCTCTTGTGGTTTTACACACACAGAATCTGTCCCTTGACATCAGCAACTGCCAGGGACACCAATGTGCCCTCATGAGAGTAAGAGCCTGAAGTTGTTGTTTATAGTCACAGTGAGGTTGCAGTCTGCCCTTGATGTATCTGTAACTGGATCCTTTCAGTGTGTCCCCTCAGTTCCTGGCTTCTTGGGGAATCCTTGCACAATATAGCAATGGAGAACAGATCCTGCCCTGTAGCTTGTCCTCAAGTAAACTCAGTACAGTTTGTTAGATCATTGTGTACTGCATGTACTTGCTGAGCAGTGTTTGGGTTTGTATTGGATGGTACTTTAAAATGACATTTTAAAAAGTGTATTATAATAATTCAGCTGCCCAAATGAAAAAACAAAACTAAACATAACAAAACCAAAAACAACACCAAAAAACCCCCCAAAACTCAGCCAAACCCATATTTATTATTTGAAATATATCAGAGCTTTTCCAAAAGGGTAGTTCTCTGTCTGGTTTTGGAGAGTGGCAATACATTCAATAAAGAACTGAAATCCAGAGGGCAAGAAAAACATCTGTGGTGGAATTAAATTAAATTAGAGTTGTATCTTCAAATCTGAAGAAGTAACAACAGCAGTTACAAGATAAAAAGTGGTAGATTAAAATAAATGCATCTAAGCTGCTTTTATAGAGCTGCCTTCTTTGATTCACACGTGCAAAATTATGTCCTACAACTCCTGCCAAACTGCAGCAAAAGCACAGGCATGCTCCCATTCCCCAGTAATTCAGACTTTGCCAAGTGTCAGTTGGTCATCTTTCTTTTTTTTCATTTGTGTAAAATACCAAAACTATACACCCCAAGGACTGCATTCTTTTTGTTACGTTGCTACATAACATCCTTAGTCCATGAATGTGTATATATAACCTTGGAAAGAAGGATGAACAAATGCTCATCTATCTTCATGCCAGTTAAATCCTTCAGTTCAGAGGTGCACACTGGATCTGGTTGAGAGCCCTTTTTCAGATTTAGCCCACCTATGACTTTGCCATGCAGGAGAAACTATAAATCCATATTTTACTAGAGGTCCCAATCTTTTAAAATTTTTCACTGGAGTATCAACACCAAGCAGTTCTTTGGAGAATCTCATTAGCAGGACAGAGGGAAACATGCAGGATAGCAAGCTGAAAGTATGCTGTCTTTCTTCCTGAAAGGCCAAGGCAATTTTCTTCTCAGTTGCAGGTGGGGAAGAGTTCAGAGGTGGCCTCTCTTGTAAGGCTGCTGGGCTTATCCCAGACATAAACTAGACTTGCCTAATAAGGGTCTTGGCAGAACCCTGTGCATGGATCTAAGGATTTCATAGGAGCCACTGCAGTTTGTCTGTGCTAACACTTGCCCTATAGAATACAAATTCTTCAGGGGCCAGTTACTGTGGTTTTAGGCCAGCTTTGTGCTGGCAGAGCTGGACAGAAAAGATTTAAAACAAGGCTGGATCTGACCCTTAGTCCTTACGCTAGAGTCAATATTTATTCTGTTTGGTGCACTCAGGATTTAGCCTGGAAGACATAAGCTTCCAATTTGTTCACTTGCAAGAACTGTAATATGAGCTACAAATTGAGAAGCAGTAAAACTAATGTTTTGCCAAATTTTATTTTAAAGCTGTTGAGTGTAACCATTTTAATGGTCTGAAAAAAAAGAAAGAAAAGTAGGAATAATCTTGGAGCTCTGCAGTCAATCAGATATACATCCACTGCATGCAGCTCACAAAGGCACTCTCGTTAAAAAAAGAGCAACTGGATAATGTTCCTTTTTAGAAAGTTTTGAAAATCTTGATTTAGTAGGTGCATCTGACATAATTACAGCTCCTGATTTCCAAGTAATCTTCTCATGTTCAAAGTTTTCATAGAAATGAAATGTCCTGTTTTGAAGCAGGCAGATAGTGCAGCTAATGTGACTAGGGAAGCTGGCTCTTGGGCCACATTCCTGCCAGGAAACCTGGCTTGGCGCCCAGCCAGGAAGGACTTTGCAACTCCTGTCAAACAATGTGCTCTGTGCAACTCTCATACAGCTTCTGATCCGTGTAGGTGGGCTACTCTTACTCACTCTGTCAGAGCTGAGCTATGCCAAAGGTATTAAAAAAATTGTGCACTTTTATCATCCTTAGTTACTTGGTTTTAAATAGGTAATATTTGAAATATAATGGATTTCTGCCTATTGAATAGTATATATTTGATGAAAAGCAGTATTTAAAAGTATATTTACAATTTTTTCTAAAGGAGAAACATTAATCACTTGGAAAATGGAAGTCTTTTGTTGGTTTAAGCTAGGCTGTGGAAAAACCATATGAGATAGAGACTTGACTGGATAAAGCAGACAGAATGCCAACTAGCTTTGCAGTGTCTTCTATTTCTCCAGTTAGGTCAGTCTCCCATTAAGGAGAGAAAAAAGAACAAGAGAAATAATATTAAAGCCATCTTTGACACAGGATGGATGGCAGCTCAAACCAAACCAGAAAGTATTATGTTCGTTCTGGAAAGGGATTTATTTTCCCCAGGAGAGTGGCTCTTGCCATATTTAAGCCATCAATAATCCCTGTAATTAGTCTATACCTGCTTCATAGTGTAGGCTGAGAAATTGTATAGAATGTTCTGAAATTGCAGGACTGAAGAATGGCTTTAACTTTGTAACAGAGTTCACAGTCCAGAACATTAAAGTTTTGGATATATATTAGTATCACCTTTTGCTGAAATAGAACCATTGCTGTAACATTGCTGTGACTGGCAGATTTCTTCTATAAAGGTGCTCTCAGTAAAAGGAGTATGGAAAAGAAAGGATACTCCCATCTTCTAGAAATTTCTCCTTCACCATTTGCAAAATTGCCTAATAAGGAGAAGGATATTTTTCTTTGAAGATGGAAAATAACTTTATGCTCTCTCAGGGAGGAATATTCACTCTTTTCCCTGTTTGTGCTTTCCCAAGGCACACATTTTCCTTTACATCTGTGCTCATATATTGGCATCATTAGCTGCCTGGATTCAGTGTAGCTCAGCTGCTGGAACTGGTTGGCCACTTACCTGCCATTTCCTCATGAGCCCTGCCTAGCTGCTCTGCAGTAGCCACTTCTGATATATTGTAACTTGTACACAAAGATTTATTTTTCTATTTGGACCAACACTTTTTATTTGAGGAAGTGGATTAGGATTTTTTTTTTTTATTATACTTAGATTGCATTTTTCTTCTTTATTTTAGAGAGTCAGACGAGAGAGTTGTTTTAAAAAGCCATTAGCACATCAAGGCTAAACAACATTATGACCTAAAATATTCTGGTTTGCATTTGATAACTTGCTGTTATTTTGTACTACAGGGGATTTCTCCATAGTTAAAATTTAAAAAAATATTTGACTAAATCAACATTCCGTCAGTTATTGCTGGCCTAACTACTGATATATTATTTGTACTACTGGTGATTAATTCGTAATAGGTGGCATGGTACTGATTCTGTTTGTGTCAAGTTATCAGGCTTTGCTAATGTCCATTTGTTCTTGGAAAGTGTTATTAATAACAAAGATTTTTAAATAATTTTTCAATTTTTGTTTTTGTTTTTTTCTTTATAGACATTAGTTTTTAATCATTTTTTGGTGTCATTCAGTGGAGAAAACATGAGTGCTCTTACTTCTTTCTGATAGTTGCTAATTGAGGATTGTTACAATAGTCTATATCCCCTTCTCTGAAGCTTATGTTCCAGCTGTTTCTAGAGATCTTTCTTTAGAGATGCTCTGACTTTTGGCATAAATAAAAACCATAAAGAAATGCTGTCATTGTTGCTTTTGTTACCACAATTGAACAAACATCCTTTTCAATGAAACAAAAGCAAAAATCTGTTTTTGAGGAAAGATTTATTGAAAACTGAAAGGGAGAGTCCTCCTTTAATGAGAGAAATGGTTTTAAACCAATGAGATGATATTCAGGCTCCCTCTTCTCTGAGCTGGTCTTTTCAACAATACAGAGTAGCCTGCAGAGAGGTGAGAGTCAGAGAGCTGGCAAATCTTGGCAGTCACAGAAGTCTTTTAGCCATGTATTCTATAATTTTCTTCTGTAAGTTTCCTCTTTGAGAAGGCACACAGGTGTTAACTAATTTGGACACCTACTCCTGTTTCACTACATTTTCTTGTCCCTGAATGGTGACACCCTGACCAGGAGTTTGTGCTGGTCCCTGCAACATTTAATGAGAGGCCTGGAGTCTAAAAGTATTAGCTGGAGAGAGGCATTGAAAGGGGATTTGCCAAGTGGATTCGGGGATAATCCAGGCTTAACAAAGGCATAGGAATGGAGAGGTACATTGGCAGCTCTCTTTTCACTGATTCAGAAAGGTGAGACTTTATTAGTTTAGACTTGTTGTTATTCATCTACACATTAGAAACCTAAGTCCTTTAAAACTATTCATGCTTATAGTCTTGAAACGTAATTGCTCAGACCTCTAAGACACAACAAGACATTTTCCAGTGGATGGGTAAATTAAATTTTCAGACTTCTACTGTAAATAATAGAAGATTTTTGTCATCTATACCTAATATCAAAAATGTCTTATAATTTTTTTTCCCACAGGAAATTTGAAGATAGTCATGCCTATTAGATGTTTAGAAGATGCAGGTAATTACTTTATACTGAAAAAAAAAATCAGAAGTGCCTATTACCTGTGTGTTTTCCTGTACTTTGCTATTGTTTCTTTAAGCCAAATTCATTATCTCTGCTATAGGAATGAAGAGTATTCCAGTATCTCTAATACTGATTTTTTACCCTTTTACTTGCTATTGATAAATCATGGCTGTCTTTATAATTCTCACTATTTTATCCAGAAAATAGCCTGTGTTTGGATAACATGAAAACAGAAAGCAAACATTCTACTTCAAATTAAAATGCTGTATTTTTCTATGAAAATCATATCTCTGAGCTTTTGGTCTTTTTAATAGAACTGTGGAAACCTATTGCATTTAAGCATTAAAAATGCATATATACCTGGATGAAATTGTTTCAACAGTGAAATCTAAAATGCTAAAGCCACATAAACATAGTCTCTAATACATCCTTTACATCTAGCAAGACATTCTCACTAGAATTTAACTTAATGATTTGAAGATGGAGTTGGGAAAAGGTACCAGTAGTGCTGTGTTTGAAATGCCTCTGTGATGTCTCTTTTTTGGCTGTTTAAGAGTAGTTTAGAATGGTGAACAGCACCTTCTTATAAAGCCAGTTAGATAATGTAAGGTACAAAGGACCTCACTTTAGCAATGTTTTAGCAATATTCAGTATATACCCCAAACTGACAGTTGACTGTAAGAAACAAGCATCTCCATAGTGGAGGGCCATGTGCATAGACAGTCTCAGTGTCAGGAGCACCTGTCGTGATATGGGAAGATTTCTTCTCTGATCACCCTACTTTGACTTGGGAGGAAGGCCAGATGACTAAAGTGCATGTCTGAACCGTAGGTGAGTAATACTGGATAAGGTAATTCCCACTCACAGTTAGGCTTCTATTTTCAGCAGTGATTTGCTAAAAGAGCTTTGAAAGTATGTGGTGGACTTTTTTGAGATCAAGCCTTCGAACTGTCCCCTGAAAGCCTTCTAAAACTACTGTTTCATTTGGAAAGTGTAGGTCTCTATTTTCTATTCCTAGAGCTGCTATTGGGTAATGATTATGCTTGTGTGCAGTCTTTGGAGCCATTCTTTATTGTGTCTGCTCACAAAAGGGAGTTTTGTGAAATGAGTTACCTTTGCTGAAGTCCCTCAGTAATTTCCATGTAAGGCTAAATAGAAGTGCAGGTGACTGCACCGATGGTGTTTAGTATGGCTGTGTGTGCGGATTTGTTGTTTTTTTAAAATTTATTTTATATTTCTTTACAGATAGCTGTGTCACCATGGAAGAGATGAAAAGAACGTTGCTCTAGGAGATCACAAGTATCTCTGGATCATTCTGCGTCCCAGTATTTAATGACAATGGAATATGTCCAAATGCTATAAGAAGTCTTTGCAAATGTATAATAAACTGTTTAGGAAAGTTCATGCCATGAACAGAACTGTGTAATACTCTTATTAGTGTACAGATACAAATCTAATGCCTATAGACTACTGCGTGGAAAGTTCCAAAGAGAAAGAAAAGTCTGTGAACTTGCAACAGCCCTGGAAAAATGGGAGCAACAAAACTTTAAAAAGCACAGCTTTGGGCACACTCCATGTGTCTGCACAGCTTTCAAGTGAACTAGCACTTAAGACCTTGTGTAACAAAATGGACTCTGGGGACACGGCTATAGGGCAAAAAGCTACCTCAAGGTCTGGAGAAACTGCTAAAGTACCAAGTAGATGGAGGCAAGAACATTCAGCTGTTATTAAGATGAGCACTTTCGGCAGCCAAGAAGTACAGCGGCAACCACAAATAGATCACGATCAAGTAGGAAACCCGGCATCAGCACAACTTTTTAGTTCTGGGAAACTGGTATCATCAAATGAAGCTGCACAGCAAGTCACAGAGAAGCAATATCCACAGCATCGTCCAAGCCCTTACTCATGTCAACATTCACTTTCCTTTCCGCAGCATTCATTGCCACAAGGCTTCTTGCACAACATAAAGCCACATCAGAGCTTGGAAGGCCCTCCATGGCAGTTTCCTAGCCACTTGCAATCAGTTGCCTCAGAGGACTTGTTTCCTTTTCATATGCATAGCCATAGTGGAGGTTTCTCCAGGAAGAAGATTTCAAGTTTGAACCCTGCATACAGCCAATATTCTCAGAAATCTTTAGAACAATCAGAAGATGCTCACAAAAAAGAGCACAAACCCAAAAAGCCTGGCAAGTACATTTGTCCATACTGTAATCGGGCCTGTGCCAAACCTAGTGTACTTAAAAAGCATATTAGGTCTCATACTGGTGAGCGACCATACCCTTGTGTCCCTTGTGGTTTCTCCTTCAAGACGAAAAGCAACCTTTACAAACACAGGAAGTCACATGCCCATGCAATTAAGGCAGGGTTGGTACCTTTCACAGAGTCAGCAGTCTCTAAATTGGACCTCGATGCCAGTTACATCGATGTGGAAGCTGAAATACATTCAGATGGAGAGCAGAGCACAGACACTGATGAGGAGACCTCACTCCTGGTGGAAGGGTCTGACAAACTGAGCCCCGTCTCGCAGCTCCCACTGGACATTGCTGGCAGGAGTGGTTTTCACTCCTCCATGGAAGAGTCCTTAGTGGGGCCGATGAAAGTCCCCATTTTGATTATCCCTAAAAGTGGGATTCAGTTACCCAGTGAGAGTTCACCATATATTAGCTCTGATATGTTGCAAACCCCATCCTTAAGTACCAAGACTGATGACTCTCATACAGTTAAACAGCGACTTGCACTAAGACTGTCAGAGAAAAAAGGACAAGATTCTGAGCAGTCATTAAACCTCCTGAGCCCACACAGTAAGGGAAGCACTGACTCTGGCTATTTTTCCCGCTCAGAAAGCGCTGAGCAGCAAATTAGCCCACCAAATACTAATGCAAAGTCTTACGAAGAAATAATTTTTGGGAAGTTCTATAGGATTAATCAAAGAACAGCACTAACTGTAGCCACAGCAAATCAGGAACACAGTTTAATGGGTAGAAAGGGCAAAACAGACCCGTCACCTCTTTTAAATAACAGATTAGATATCAAGATGCTTGAGGAACATATTTCTCACCTGACTCCAAATAAAGAGGAATTCATTGACTCCAGTAATTTGAGCACTATTAAGTCTACACAGATTTATCCAGGCAACAATACAGAATGTAGACAATCCCAGACCACATCATCCATCAAAAGTGAATCCAACTTGTACCAAGTCAGTCAGCAGGGTGATGTGCCTGTCCTTCTAGAGCCCCCAGTAGATTCCTCTCCCCTTATTAGAAGTAACTCCATGCCAACCTCTTCTGCAAACAGCCTAAGTATTCCCCCATCTCTGAGAGGAAGCCATTCATTTGATGAGAAGATTACTGGCTCCGATGATGTATTTTATCCCGGGACAGTGGGAATATCCCACCAAAGAATGTTGAGAAGACAGGCTGCCTTTGAACTGCCATCTGTACAGGAGGGACATTCGGATTCAGACTACCATGGAAGACCAGGGAAAAATATCATTATTGCTTCCAGCAGACAGACAGCAGGTGACAAAGGACCATCCTTAAAAGAGAAGAAAGGAGACAAGCCCTTTTATGACTATGATGCCAGTGGAAAGCACTACAGAAAGTGGGAAGAATTTGAAGCTCAGAAGCAGAACTACAGGGACTCACCATCCTTAGGTGGGATGAACAAAGGGGGAGAGTTTTTTATTGATGCACTTGGACAATCTCAGTCTGTGCCATCCATGCTTGGAACAACTTTTGAAAACAGAAAGCGCAGGAAAGAGGAGAGTGTTGGAGATGAAGAAGACAGTCCTATGATTTGCAGCAGTACAACTGGCACCCCGGGGGGAATTCAACCTTTGGACTTCGATCCCAAATCCCAAATTCAGGAAGTGCCAAGAAGTGGGTTTGCCCTCCAAGGCCTGGAAAACGCTCCCCATTGCCATGCAGAGCGTTTTGAAATGTGCAGACCTTACTTGCAGTCTGGAAGTCCAGCAGCTTCTTTAGAAGACTCATCCCTTACTGCAGAGCAAGAAAAGGCTGCAGAATCACTGGTTCGAAAGCCCCCTGGAAATGTCATCTCTGTCATTCAGCACACAAATTCACTGAGTAGGCCAAACTCATTTGAAAGGTCTGAATCTACAGAACATATTGCATGCCAGCAGGAAAAGATGTATTCACCATCTGAAACATGCGAGAGTGAGATCTGTGAGTCCCCGATGAGCCCAGACCGAGCTCCACAAATGGAAAGTGTTGACACCAGTAAGCCATCCCCATCCCAGCAGCCTCAGCCGTGTCACATGCAGCCCAGGTTGGTTCGCCAGCACAACATACAGGTACCTGAAATCCGTGTCACAGAGGAGCCAGATAAGCCCGAAAAAGATAAAGAAGTGCAGAGTAAAGAACAGGAGAGACCCACTGAAGAATTCCAGTGGCCCCAGAGAAGTGAAACCCTTTCTCAACTTCCAGCTGAAAAACTACCACCTAAAAAGAAGCGTTTAAGACTGGCTGACATGGAGCACTCCTCTGGGGAATCCAGCTTTGAGTCTACAGGTACAAGTCTCTCTCGCAGCCCTAGCCAAGAAAGTAACTTGTCCCACAGTTCAAGCTTTTCAATGTCCTTTGAAAGAGAAGAGAATATGAAGTTCATCACACCTTCCAAACAAGATGAATTTGGAAAGCAGTCTGAGTTTTTAACAGTTCCAGCAGGTGCTTACTCACTTTCCGTCCCTGGGCATCACCATCAGAGGGAAATGAGACGCTGCTCATCTGAACAGATGCCCTGTCCTCATGCTGCTGAAATCCCAGAGATCAGAAGTAAATCCTTTGATTATGGGAACTTGTCTCATGCCTCTTCAGCAGGAACACCTACTGTGGCATTGTCTCCATCCCGAGAAAGGAAGAAATGCTTCTTAGTTCGCCAAGCTTCCTTCAGTGGTTTTCCAGAGATTTCTCAGACTGATCAGAGCACAGAACAAAGTATAAAGCAGGAGCAGATGGAGCATTCACAGGTTGGTCTTCGCTCTTCCCAGCTTGTCTGGCATCACTCTCCTTCTTCTGTACTTCAGCCCATTCAGGTAGATGACTCTGGAAAACAGGCTATTGGCTCTTGTGCTCAGCTTAGTAATAGCTCATCCCACCTTGCCCAGCAACAGGCTCTTGTTGCAGACAGCCCGGAAATGTTAAGGACTCCCTTAATCCAACAAGCACCTTATATTCCTAACAAACATCCATCAGAGCAGCAGCAGCTATTTGCACATCAGGAAAAAGTCCCATTTCCCCCTATTCATAGCACCTTGTTTCAGTTCCCTTACCCAGCTGTCTGCATGGTTCACTTACCACCATCTCAGCAGCCTATCTTGTGGCAGTCCTGCACAGAACCTCTGCACTTCCAGCATCAATTTGTACAACAGCTGCAGAAATCTTATGTCAAACAGGCTTTCCAAATAGATGTACCTCCAAGTTATCACCTGGAACATGCACCTGAACTTATTGGAAAGAAAGCAGCTGATTATGTGCATGCTAAAGAGCAAGCATACCAGCATTACTCAGGAACATCTGGGCCGTATTCAAAAAATACTCTTGCTAAGTACCAATCAGACCACAGCATTAAACCAACAGATACATCCTCTGAGCAGCATCTTCAGACAGACTTTGACTCCCCAAGTGATGGATCTGTACAGTCTTTGCCAGGAACAGTTGTTCCCGTCAGGATTCAAACCCACGTGCCATCTTATGGTAGTGTCATGTACACAAGCATTTCCCAGATCCTTGGACAGAGCAACAGTCCTGCAATTGTAATTTGTAAAGTTGATGAGACAGTTTCTCAAAGAACATTGGCAACTAATGCAGCCATGCAAGGAATTGGATTTAACATAGCTCAGATGTTGGGCCATCATGGAGGACTAGAAAAATATCCTTTGTGGAAAGTGCCGCAGACACTTCCACTTGGACTGGAGCCACCAATTCCCTTGTGTTTGCCTTCCACTTCTGACATGGCTTCTACCTTGGGAGGAAGCAAACGAATGCTTTCCCCTGCCAGCAGCTTGGAGCTCTTCATGGAGACCAAGCAGCAGAAACGAGTCAAAGAGGAAAAAATGTATGGGCAGATAGTTGAGGAACTAAGTGCAGTTGAGTTGACTAACTCAGATATAAAGAAAGATTTTCCAAGAATGCAGAAGCCTCAACTAGTAAGGCAGAGCTGTGCTACTGAGCCAAAAGAAAGTTTGCCATCCATGTCATCTTCTTCATCGCTGTCATCCTCAACATCTCAAGATTTCCCACCTGTCAGCATGGCAGGAGCTGATGCATTCCCACTGAGCAGGGAGAAACTTTCCAGTTTTGATTCTGCATCACCGGGACAGAAGTCCAGTGGCCCATCTGAAGGAAGAGACTCACCAGAGGAATTGGATGTGGATGAAACAGCCTCAGATATGAGCATGAGTCCACAGAGGTCTTCATTGCCCCCAGGAGAAATTCAGGCAGAAGACCAACTGAAACATCAAAAATTACCTCTTGGGATGTTAGTCCAGATGTCATCTAATACTGTTGGGAAAGTCACAGCCTCAACCATTCTCCTGACAGACGTAGCAGATTTTCAACAGATCCTTCAGTTCCCTAGTCTGCGTACTACGACTACTGTGAGCTGGTGTTTCTTAAACTATACAAAACCCAATTACACTCAGCAACCAACCCTCAAAGCTTCTGTTTATGCTTCATGGTGTATAAGTTCATGTAACCCAAACCCATCTGGGCTAAGTACAAAGACCACTTTAGCACTTTTAAGGTCCAAGCAAAAAAACACCACGGAAATCTACACCCTGGCGGCTATGCACAGACCTGGAGCTGGTAAACTGACATCATCAAGTGCATGGAAGCAGTTTGCCCAGGTAAGCAGGAAATTTTAATAAAATTAACTTCATACATTTTTGTATGAGAAATTTCTAGTAAACTGTAAAATGAGAGTTAATGATTTATTTTTTTTTACAAAAAGTTTCCCCATTGGGAAATCAGCCAATCACATCTTCCCAAGACAACTTCTGAGCCTCAGTTTATCCTTCTGCAAGCTCTCCTACTTCTGCTGTCTGTCTCTGTCTCCTTTTTCAAAATCAGATGTAAAAAGTGAGGCTTTAAAAGCCTTCCCTTCATGTGTGCCAGAGCCTGATACATTATCTCCTTTTTTTTTTGCCCTTTGTTTTTCCCAATTTAAACAGTGTCAGACACAAACATCCACGTGCGTTTGTAAGAAAAGATTAAGATAAAATTGAGTACGGATCTTCACATCCATTTAATGTCTTTTACATATTGACTCTTCCTCATGTATTAAGCATTTGCTAATGTTGCCAGGGAAAATTCTGTAATGGCAATAAATTACCTTCTGAGGCTTTTCCATATCTATTTTCCATGATTTTTTTTTTCCTGAGGAAAGATACAGTATTGTCTTTTCTGTCAAGATTCTCTTCAAAATGTGTCCATGTTGCCTCCTCTCTTATTCTCTGTCAAATTAAATGGGACAGATTAATTTATTGTATAGATTTGGACCAAAATGAGTTTGGCCTTGACCTGGTATGTTAAAAGTATTTGAAATGAAGTATGCGTTTATTGTATGCTACAGAAGTAACACCCTTCCTTGACTTTGTTCTACAGATGAAACACGAGCCATTCTTCTTGTTTGGCAGCAAGCTTGAAAAGAAAGTAGTGGGGAATATTATAAAAGAAAGAGTAAAAGGAGACATTCATGGAGATAAAGACATTACATCCAAACAAACTGAGCCGATACGAATTAAAATCTTTGAAGGAGGGTAAGAAAATATAACTGGAAATTTCAAGCTCAGCCTGTCATTTTAAAGACGTTTTTAAATGAATATGAATGAATTAGAATGTGAACAGTCTCCTGTATTCTTGCCATGTCTTGTAGCTCCCAAGTCTTTTATTTTTTTGTGTGTTTGTCAGTCTTAAAACGCACTGCAGGGTACCTGTATACTCACTTCGGGCTCTACTTTGCTATTAAGACAATTGTTTTCCATCTGTGTGAGAGCACTCACTGGAAATTGTTGCTTTAATTCCTTAAGTCATAAGAAAGTGGATGAACTGTTGACATTTTGATATTTTCTATGCCATTTCTTTCTATTTAATGACTTCCATGAGGATGTGTTTCCATTTTTAGGCACTGTGTATTCCACTTAGTTGAATGGGTTGACCACGCATGCTCAGTCTTATTCTTGTATTATTATATTATTTACTGAGGATGGATTTTGGATATAAAATGTAAGATGCCAATGAAATCTATGACATCTAAGACCAATCCATAGATCTACCATGTATGGTTCATAAAATAATATTTAATTTTACTGTGGCAATCTATCACTCAAGTGATAACAGAAACAACAAAGAGGGGAAAGCCAATTACCATTGTTTTGAGGCTTAAGAAACTTGTTAAGAAAAGAAAATGGAATGGACACTTGTTTGTCTCTGCAGTATACTCTAAAGTGGAAGATATTGTTTAGTTTCTTTTACAGAATCCTGACACAGTGCAATTAGTTTGCCACTTCTTAGTGGTGCATAGTCAGGTGGCTAAACAAGATGTGTTTTTCAGTCTTACCAAACTCAGATGGTCCCATAGCACTGTTTTATTGGGGTAACTAAATAGGTCAGGTGTGAGATGTGAGAAATTCATACATCCATTTCCTTCTACTGTCAGTTTGTAACCTTTAAAATCTCAGTTGTCCTTCACTGACGTTGTGTTTTTATCTAAGATTGAATAATATCCATGAAATTACCATTACCATTTCTCTGTAGTCTGCAACACTAAAGGAATACAGGCTGCATCTCGCCTGAAAAAGTTATTTTGGAGATTTTTGTAGGTGAGCTGGCCTAGGCACCCTTATCCTGACTGTTCTCTGTAGTTGTACCTTGTACCTAAGCCAGTAGACTGGCTTTATAAGAGTGATCCAAATTCAATGGTGAGCCTAAGTTTACAAGAAATTTGAAGAGCTGTTGCTTCAATTCACTACACTTTGAAGTATAAGATTTGCCTGCTTCCCACTATGTACCATTTCTGAATTTGGATGACCCAGCTGAAGATAGTTTGCCTTGATGTAAGCTGCATGATAAGAGGTCAGAAGAGTAAAAGTGTGTTAAGAAAAGCACCTTAAAGCAGGATTCAGATGAGTGTGAGCTGAAGCAGATCACTCTATAAAAAACTTCTACTATCTAAAACTTACTTCAAGAAATTTTGTGTGTTACTTGCACTACCTTAAGTTTTCCTGTACACTAAATAAGCTTTATGAGTATTTGAGTAAAATCATATAATTCACACTTCACCTAGAAATGTCTCCTAGTAATACTTGGCTATGTTTAGATATCCTTTGAGTAAAACAAAACATAAGAAACCTTGATGTGCACATTAATTTCTGGAGTGGAGAGAACAAATAGTCTGTGCAATAGACTGGGACTTCCTCAATAGAAACATATAAACTGCAAAACTGCAACAAATGAGGTGATGCAGTGTCAGTAGGTTCACTCTTTACTCACACATAACTTTATGATACATTTTACGAGAATTATTTGTGGAAGAATAGATTTGTTCTTTCCATTCTAGAAATTCATTTGGCTACTTTTTAAATCGATGTAATAGATATTATGGTCATGTCTTGCACTACTTTCTGTCGAGGTTATTGAATTTTTCCTTCATTTCAAGTTATTGTCTATGACTTCTTAAAGCTAGTTTTGACATGGGTGGGTTTCTATGCTTGCTTCTTCTTGACTGTTTGTTGAGCAGTTTTGTTCTCTCTTCAAGCACATCTTCATCTCTTCTCAGTATGTAGTGCTATGAGCTGTATAGCAAATGTCTGCTGTCTTTGTGTCACTTTTTCTCCCCTGGACAGACAAGCATGGATAGTCATGTCTTGTTTCAGCAGGATATTTTCATTTTGGTTTTCAATTTTCACGGGGAATGGGTTTCCTTAGGCTTTGTGATTGCTTTTGTTTCATAGGTGTGCAGAAGGTAATTAGCTGAGCAAGAACTGTGGCTGTCGGCTTTTGGTTTGTGGGAAAGCCTGCCCACCTGGCAGGGAAATGCAGCTCTGCAGCTGCCTTGTGCCAATGGGGTGGAGCATTCATATGGCAGCTGGGCAAAAAGCAGATAGCTGGGGCTGGGGATCAATGAGAAGCTGAAGGAGCAGAATCAGAATTAAGGCAAAAAGTAGATCATAGAATCATAGAGTTGGTACCTCTAAGATCATCAGGTCCAACTGTCAGCCAGTACCACCAGATGTCACAGCACATCACCTCCTCGCTGCAGAAAGTCCATCAAGAGTATTTTATAAGCATTGTAGCAGAGGGAGTTTGGAAGGAAGAAACTAACCACTGCATTATTAACACTGGCAGGTGGCTTGATTCAAGTGAAATTATCTGAATCACAAAATCTGCTTTCCATCATCTGTGACTGCAGATGTGACTGATGGGATATGAAGCAGTATTTCTCAAAGAAAAGCAGTAATTTGAAGTTCAGTCCTTGCTGCAGTACAGTTAGTTACTAATGGTGTGCAAAGAAAGAAGGGACAGGACAAGCATGCCTGCCCATCTGACACCTAGCTTAAAGACATTACCAGCTGACAGAAAGAATTCACAGTTTGCTTATGTTGGTACTTTCGTATCTACCAGTAATAGACTCTAATTAAAAAGCCCAAATAAAAGTAACATTTTGGATAGAAATTGCAGGACTCTGAGACTTGTTAATGCTTCTTAACTCAAGAGCTCCATCCTAGTCAAACTCAGAGAGACAGTGACCAAAGTCCTTACATGGACATTATGTAGTAAGAAGGGGTAAATTACTCAAAGCTTTGAGAGAGGCACAAGTTAGCAGTAAGATCTAATATTCCTGAGGTCTGAAAGGTAATCACCATAGACTCAGACTTCTGGTCTTAGTTTTTGCACCAGTCCTTCTTTAAATGTCAAGTTTGTGTGTGTCATTTCTCTTACAGTCATTGTTATGATGAAGCATACTTAAAAAGTCAAGGTCAGTTGTGGCCAAAAACCATCTATATGAATGATGAAGAGACACATGATTTATCATTGTCTTTGTGTCCAATGGGATCTGACAGGTGACAGAAGCCACTGGAATAAGGTCAAGCAGAAGAAGAGCAGATATGGAGCAACAGAAAAGCACATGTAATAGCACAGCATTTATCTTACCAGTATCAATCAGGGGTGGTATGATAGACTCCATCCCAGCAAAATCAGTCTGTAAGGAGTGATGAAGAGAAGATAAAATAGCAGTATTTCAGATAATAATGGGCTTTTTTTTTTTTTTTGTCTGTGGGAGAAAGCTTGGAGATAGTTGATGAAGCAGTGGATAGAGAGATGACTAAAAGTCATTGGCATGTGCATGTGAAGGAGAACCTGGGAAATGGGGCAGCCATTTCCCAAATGGGGACAACCAAAATCCCAAAAATGTTGTACAGAAAACCTGCTAGAGAGATGACTTAATATTAAATTACATTAGACTATGCCAGTTTTGCCCGTGCTGCCAGGGACAATGAAGGAAATGGGAGAGGTACAACTTCGTTGGAAATTAGATAAAAAAACCTGAATTCAGGCATCCACATTTGAAAGAGGAGCCAATGTATTTAAAAGATAAGATGATGGACTTGAGAACAGGACACTGTTTTATGTTTTTCTAAGATATTAACTTCAGAATTTATATTGCCCATGATATAGCTAAACATATGGGAAAGTGTTCATCTAAGAACAGCACACTTTAAAAATGTTCCAGCTCTGTAACCCAAAAATTGCCACTTTTTTCTAGTAGAGTTATCATCACATTAACAGAATCTTTCACACAGTCCCTTTTTATTTAAAGTACTGAATGTCAGTGCCAACAATATTTTGTGGGCTATGCATCCACAGAATGACTGAAAGTACTTTGTGCTGCTTAGGAACAGGGCAATGGAGGACAGAGGGCAGAAAAAAAATATTTCACAGTTCTTGCACTTCCTGGATTTACTTTGGGTGAATGAGGAGGGAATTCTTACCCAAAGGAATGCCCAGCAGTCTTCAAACCTCAGAACAGCCTGAGTGGATTCCCTAGACTCTTTAAGATTTCAGTATTAACAATTTAACATGATAATGAAGGCCATGTACAACTTTACATAGATTTTCATATCTTATTTATTTTCTAACTACATACTATGTGATCAGCAAAAACAGCATAAAAATCTTATGTTTGTGCTAAGAAAAATTTCAGTTATAGTTTTCTTCAAAGTATCTATGTTTGACATTTACCATTTTATTTCTAAAGCATCACGTACCTGAATGAACTCAACTCAGTGTCTCTTTAGGAAGTGATTTATCTTTGGGAATGCCAGGAATCTGTAATGTGAATGCATACATCCTTGCTCATCATCCATGTTCCCTCTATGCTTAATGGGAAGAAACGGGCATTTCCAGGATATGATTTATCTGATCCCAAAGGATAAATGCTCTAAAATAGTTAAATGAACTGTGCTGCAAAACAAAGCTCTTTTCAGCGGTGGTAAATGTGCTGTACAAGACTACAGTGGGCTGAAATAAATCCAGCCTGCAGGCTTATATTTGGAATTGTGTCTGTAAGAATGATTGTTCATTGGTTTTCTGACAAGGTATTTCTACTGTTCTCTTCCTGCAACCTCTTGGTCTCATATTGCTTAAATACACTGGGACCAGTACATTCACTGAAAGCCAAATACTTTATGAGCTCCAGAGTGAAAATTCAGTAGTTCCTTTGGACTTTCTGTGAGTTTGCTTTGATGATAAGGCTCAGATGGGTAGAAGTGATGTTTGTACATGTATGAGACCTAGGCTCTGTATGACTTAAATACTTGCTCTCTTCCAACAGGTATAAATCAAATGAGGATTATGTCTATGTCAGAGGTCGTGGCAGAGGAAAGTACATTTGTGAAGAATGTGGCATTCGCTGTAAAAAGCCAAGCATGCTCAAAAAACATATCCGCACTCACACTGATGTCCGGCCTTATGTATGCAAGTTGTGCAATTTTGCCTTCAAAACTAAAGGTACTTGACCCTTTTTGCTGAACTCTTGCCACTTCTGGAACTATTTTGCCCTCTGAGATCCAATCTCCCATTGCAATCAAGGGGAGTATTTTCTTCAGAATAAAATTGTTGTGTTTATGTATACAGGGCTGGATAAGAGAGTTTGTTCTCTTCTGTTGAATTGATTCAGGGATTTTATAAGACTCTGAGACTCCTTGGATAGCTTCATTAAGACACCTATAGGCTCTTGGCTGGTCCTTCCGTTTTCAGAGAAAATGTAGTAGCATAAGAACCACCCTGAAAAATAATACCCTGCCAACATTGTTACATGGTGCAAATTTTAATTGCAGCAACACTTGAATGCTACCAGGAGACCACACTTCTTATGACATAATGTAGAAGCAGAGCATCAGCTGCTGAGGAATACATGCCTTCACAGGCTTTACAGTGGGTCAGTTTCAAGTTTATAAATAATGTATGTCTCCCAGATGGGCCCCTCCATCCACTGTGGCATTAATTATGAATAGAGATCTGATAGCTTCTGTTCACATGTATTTATCAGCACAGAAAAAAGCTTCCATTTGTCACCCTGAGGCCACAGATAATGATATTCTTTGGAATTCAGATTTGTGATGCAACTCTCTCCTTGAAAGAAAAAATCCTTTCCTTGGTATCATTTCTTTGTAGCACAGCCTAAATGAGCCTTACATTCTCAGTTTCTCAGGTTCCCTTTGGCAGACAAAAGAAATGGATTCTGGTCCCAGTGCAGTGAAACTTAACTCATAGGGGGAGAAAGGAAGCTGAAGGAAATTTCTCCCAAGATCCCACTGCAGCTTCATGGCTGTTTTGAGGATTGAGAATTGTAATAGTTTCCATGACTCCAGCACTTCGTCCTATGCCAAAGATGGGAATAGCTGATGGATGGTAGTAGACCCATCAACCTAATTTAAGATGAGAACTTTCATGGGCATGTAGAGACAAAGGCAAGGAGTTGCTTGTTTGTAGTCCCAATAGACCATCTGGTGAGCTGTTCTCATATCATTGCTTACATTTGACATTGCTGGAGAAATGGGTCTTGAGGAGGGGCTTGAAGTACATGACAGTATTGTGGTTTTACAGCTGTGTTCAGAGAGGACATTCCAGGAAGAAGAGGTGGCATGGGAAAAAAAAGAGAAATTGTTTGCTGAGGCTGGCATTTCTGACAAAGAAGAAACATGGAGGAGGTGGTTTGCTATTGCACAAAAACAGCACAGTAGCAAGAGACTAGGTTAGCCTTCAAAGTACAAGAAGTCTTTAACTGATTTATAACTGATTATAAGCAGTTCTCAGCCTCATAACTATTGTTATTTTACTGGGAGCAGTAGGGGACAAACTTTCAGAGGTACTTGGGTTTTCAGTTTTTCTGAGCATTTAGCCATCTGGAAGCATTAATGGCCAAGTTAGGCTTTTCATGCAGGACGCAGGCACAAGAAACTCCTCCTGAGAGGGGAATTATTTGAACTAGCTGGAACTGAAAGTGAGAGAAGAAGAGCCTGGCTTGTGAGTTTCTAAGCACACCTGCACTATTCAACAGAGGGATTCAGTGTTCCTGCCCCAAAATGGCATGTGCCACAACACCATCTGGAGGTGCTGGTTGGGGTCCTGGAAACAGCATAAATGCATTTCCAGAGGGCTTCCCTTGAGCTAAGAAGCACCATTTCTTGGTAGTGGGTTGGGTTTTCTTGTGCCATACTTTCCCTTTTGGGTGTTGCAAATGAGACTAAAGTGGCAAATAGATTAGAGCAATATTATCCTGCCTGTGCTTTGTGCTCAAGATTCTTTGTCTTGAAATGTCTCTTGGGACCAATATCAACCCAGTTTTTTTTATCTGTGTAAAAACAGACCAAGACAGGCACTCCAAAAAGTCAATAGTCTAGTGTTAGATTGCTCCCTCAGGGGAATGGGAGATTTGCTTTCAAATCTCTGCTGTGTCTGGTCTAGATCTGCACTCCAAATCTGGGAGCTGAACCTGAATTTCCCACATCCCAGGTAGGTGCTGTAAGCACAGCTCCTCTCAGTTCAGAGACTGCAGCTAGATGGTAAATTTGCATAGAGAAGTCTCCTGTAACTGTCTCTTTCTTTGTGGGGTACTTTTGCTTCCAAATGCTTCAAATACACGGAGCATTTGGAAACCACGTGCAAAGTAAATGAGAGAGCCCTTACCTTGAAAGTGCCACTGTGCAAATAGGAGTGTGAGCCGTGAATGGCTGCTGTGCTGAGGACTTACTTCAATGTCTAGGCAGTCTGTACATATCATGAACAGGCAGTCCAGGAACAGATAACATCCATAAGTGAGTTTTTAGGAGTGCCTAAATATCATGTGGAAAATTGAAGAGATGCATATGTACCTCTCAGGCCCTGAGTTTTTTTGAATATTTTATTTTCTAAAGATATAAAAACCCACTCTCATTAAAAACAGGCTTTGAGGCCAATGGTCTTGATGAGTCAGCCCTGTCTGTTGTGGTATTTTTTAAAGCTAAAATCCATTATCTGCAGCATAATGGAGCTAAGATACACCAAAACCTTTCTTGAATAGTGATCTTTGTTGTTGCCCGTTCATCACATTATTCTCTGATCCATAGGAAATCTGACAAAACATATGAAGTCTAAAGCACACATGAAAAAATGCTTGGAGCTTGGAGTATCAATGACATCTGTAGATGATGCTGAAACTGAAGAAGTAGGTAAGTCAAAATGATGGAATGGAATGGCCTCATTTCAACTAATGCATGGAAAGTATGGAGTCTGCAAATGACTCATTGCACTTCAGCACAGTGATGGGCATGGGAAAATACATTACAAGTACTTGGAGCATTTTTTAATTGAGAGTTAACTTTTTAATAAACAGGAAGTAAAAAAAAGTCCTATCTAATTGTCTGGGTTATACTTTTTTACATGAAGAGGTGCCAGAAATAAAAGTATGGCTGTTGTGATCTGTCTCATACGAGGTTCCCAGTCTCTCCACTTAAGATGTGAGAGTTGGCAACATTTAGTGAAGTTGCAAGGTAGTGTAGGATGAATTTGCTTTTGTACTTCCTTTCAAGTATAGAATTTTAAGGTATTGTTTTGAAAAGAATATGGTTTTCATGGATAAGGAATGGCTTTATGCAGCCATTCTAGATAAAGAGCTTCCAGCAATGGCAATGAGTGTGCTGGGTAGGGAATGGTTATAAGAGGTAGATTAGATATGTGCTAGTCATTTGAACTTGCTGTGGTTGTTTCAGAAAATATGGAGGACATGCAGCAGGAGGCAGAGAAGAGCAGCAACCTGGCAGGGCTGTCAGCAGAGCACCAGTTTTCTGACGCAGAGGAATCGGATGGCGAGGATGGCGATGACAATGATGATGATGATGAAGATGAGGATGATTTTGATGATACTCAGGGAGACTCGACGCCAAAAACCAGATCAAGAAGCACCAGCCCGCAGCCCCCTCGGTTCTCCTCCCTGTCAGTGAACTCGGCTGGGGCATCACAGGGGGCTTCCCCAGAGGGCTCCCTTTCAGTGGGACACTCTTCCCTCATCAGTTACCTGGTCACCTTACCTAGCATTCAGGTTACTCAGCTTATAACACCGAGCGACTCCTGTGAAGACACACAAATGACAGAATATCAGAGGTTTTTCCAGAGTAAGAGTACAGATTCAGAGCCTGATAAAGACAGATTGGACATACCCAGCTGCATGGATGAGGATTACACACCTTCGTTAGATCCCAGTTCTTCTCCGAGGGACCTCTCACCTTCCAGTCGACAATCGTCACCTGGCTACGATTCTTCACCCTACAGAGATAACTCACCAAAGAGGTATTTAATGCCAAAAGGGGATTTGTCACCCAGAAGACATCTGTCACCCCGACGAGATATTTCACCCATGAGGCACCTTTCCCCGCGGAAGGAGGCTGTGCTGAGGAGAGAGTTATCACCAAGACGGGACGTGTCACCGAGACGTCACCTATCGCCAAGGAGACCAATGTCACCAGGGAAAGATGTGTCTGTTCGAAGAGATTTGTCTCCCAGGCGAGAGAGGAGATATATGGCCTCTGTTAGAGCAGCATCTCCCCGGAGGGGCTTGTACCATAATCCAGCATTGTCCATGGGTCAATATTTACAGTCTGAATCTATTCCAGTGGGACATTCAGTAAGTATGAAGGAATATTTTCATTCCTCTTGTCAAAATCTGTGCTGTTACTGAATTTGCGTGTTTCAGGAATCTTTGCAGCTTTGTAGAAGAAGAAGGTATAAACTTTGAGCCTTGGTGGGAAGTTCTGGGACAAATGCAAAAAATTTGGAATAGACAGAGACTAAGTCAGGATGCTGATTCATTTAGATGCACTAGAGTCAGCTTAAGGGGCACTTGGTAGAGCTCTGAATAGCTTCACCAAATGAAGTTAGGCTGGTTTGTATTTTCTGCCTCCATATTCATTGTATTTATTTTATATATATACATGTAGGTATGTATAATTTTTCAATGGTCCAGAAAGCTTACACGGTTTGTGAGGCTTGCTTCTGCACTGTAAAAAATCTCGTACTTCCCAAACTCTCCTGAGATAAGCCAAAATCAAGGCTTAAATCCCCATTCCTGTGGTATGGTGCCCATCACTGAGTATTGTTTAGTGGAATAAAAATGTTAAGATAATGAAATCTTTTAGAAAAGCAGTGTGCACACTAAAATCAAGATCTGTGGCTGGAATTTAAAAGATATTATTGTGTGAGAGGAGCAGGCAGCTGTCTGCCCCACAGAACCATTTGGGTGGAAGTATGCAAAACTTGCGCAGCTGCTGTCTATGCTCTTCCCTTTTGGTAAATCAGCTCTCAGAAACTGCCGGATTGGAACTTTTGACCAGCCCTAGCATTCACAAAGCACTCCCTCCACAAATAGATTATATCTTCAGAGGTAAGGAATGGCCTTACTAGGTGTGAATTTATTATTTATTTACTATGCTTCCCTCGCCATGTTGCTGTTGTGGCTGCCCTGTCAGTGCCTGCCTGTGTGTGGGTTCAACCTGGGCAAGCTGTGACAGTCTCAGATTCCTTCAGAACTCCTTGCTCCCTGCTCTTCTCCTGGCTGGCCTCTTCTCTCTGCTTCCTCACTCCCAGTCTTTTTGACTCTCCATGTAGTCTTTGCAGTGTTCCTCTGTGGAGGAGAAGAATTGAACCCTGAGTTCATACAGTCAGCATTTCTCAGCTCTGGTGTGTTTTTCTCTGTAGAGTCAGGCTGATGTGTAATATGCTCCCAGGAATGGAGTGAAGGATGCACCTGGGCAAAGATAGTTGGGGCAGGGGTGGACCAAAAAGAGCTGAGTTACTGCCAGCCTGAGCTGCTGGCAGATGCAAAAGTGATTTCCCAGCATTTCAGGGATATAAAGGAAAGCTGCAACTTGAGTGGCCATGTTTATAGGAGAGAGCAGCACAGGTACTTCTCCCACATCTTAGACATGGCCCCATGACCTAGTAAGCTGTTTGGGAGAGCCCTGGAGAGGGGTGACTGATTAAATGGTCCTTGAGAAAGGACATGCTGAAACCATGTTGTACTCTCACAGGAGTGATCACTGCACAGCTGAGAGAGGATACAAATCCCACCAGCAGTTCTACTGACTACACAAGGAAGCATAAGTGGGTGAAGAGTCACCAGTTTAAACAGTCATGATGTCTCAGTATCAAATGAATGGGATCATATGGGATTCTACAGCTGGCATTGTGCGGGGTGCCCCCAGTCCCTCACATTCCACATGAGATACACTGGCATCCTGTAGTAAAGATTTTGGATGTGTAATGATGCTACCAAAAGCCTATGTTAACAGTCATCCTTGGCCATCTGACAGTTCTTGCTGTAATATTTTTCTTATGTGTTATGCACACCTTCCAGCAAGGCATTTAGCACATTGTAAGCACTCTTAGCACTTCTCACTCCTTCTTTTGAAAAGTCCACCATGCCACATGGACATCCAAAGTTTACCTTGTTTTTGAGGTACAGTCAGGCATGTGGCAGTGAAAAACACAATGTGAAAGATCATTGTCTTACAGAAAACATCAGTTACTTGATGGCATGTTGAGTGTTTTGAGAGAGAAGGCCAGACCTCAGCAGAGTCACTACAACCTGAATACAGGAGGCATCACTGTTTGCCTTAAGGCAAACTTAATGAAAAAAAAATGACAAGTGAGGATGATTGCCCATTGCAACAAATGACTGCAGGGAAGGAAAGATGGATTCCTTGTCTCTTGATGCCTTTCTGGAAAATGTACTTTAGCCAAACATTAGACAAGCTTAAGTGAAACACAAGTTATTATACTCAGCATGTGGGAAGACAAGTAACACATGAGCTTGCTATAAATGAAAGCTGTCAGAGAAGAAAAAGGAATAAAGGTTGTTTTCCACTTTTTAGAGTAGTGAAATCCAGCAAACCAGAACATCATTAGCAGCTGTATTGGTGATGCACATGCCAGCTTACAATTCTTAAAATACTTCAAGATCTGCATTGGGTTCCCAGTCCTTGCAGGAATAAGGGCAGTTTTGTGCTTCTAGTGCTTGCAGTTCCCAGAAGAGGCCGGTTTTCTTTCATCTCAACTGAAATTGGTGTATTTCCTCTCGTCCTTTTGGCCAGTGCTGGTCTAGTTGCTCTTCATCTTGCTTGCTGTTGAATGTCCATGCACTTTGGTGGTCTTGTGCAAAAGGCTTGTAAAGTGCTCTGGCATTGAAAATACCACATAGAAAGCAATTAAAATTATTTGTTTAGGAAGTGGAAAAGAGCATGGTGAAAGTAAATATTTTTTTAGATTGCATAAAGATACGGGAAAATACACACTTTTTTTCCTTTGGCAATCAATAACAGGATATACTCTTGCAACAGAACATTCTTTCTAAAGTAGCCTAAGTCTGTAGTGTGTGCTGGATCACACTTGGCTTTGAAAAGTTAAATTGGTGTCTTTAAAATTAATGCTAGATATCTTCTTCTCTCTAAATATATTCGGGATCTTCTCTTCTGTTGATGCCAGAGGTTTCTTTCCTTACTGAGGAGGCTGATGCCATTATCAAAGGGCTGAGATTCTTCTTCCCAGTCATCTTCTGCCAGTCCTGAGAGAAACAGAAGGAATAGGAAGGCTTCATTTGTTCACCCTGAGTGAATCTCTTCTAGCATTTTAGTTTGGATCGGGCATATATCTCTGTTGTCACATTTTTTGTGCTTTAACTCACATTTTCTGATCAGTCTTGGAGTAAGTCAGATGGAATTAAACTGAAAATGTGCACCAGGAGGGCAGCAGGTGCACTTGAACTGTGAGTGGCCATTCAAGTGACTGCAAAGAGGCCACATAGGGCTAATCTGAAGTAACCTTCCCTTCCAAACCCACAACACTTGCATTTTGAATATGGGATCCAGCACAAACTGTGTTCACTGCATTCCTGCTTCCCAACCCTTAGTACACTCTGCTACTTCCTAGTGCAGACCAGAACCTTTGCCTCTTCTTCCAGTCCCAGGATAGACACAACGAGATCAAGAAGGTGGCTTGGTGTGAGTGGTTCAGACTTGTCTCTCACAACTATTTTAGCTTCTAGGCAGTAGTGGATTTTGCTTGTGTTGCCATCTTGTTGCTCATGTAATTCATTTTGAAGTCTGAAGCCTGTCTTGATATATTCAGAAGGGCTGAAGGGAATTAGGCACCTACCTCTATGTTCACTTGAAAGTTGATAGGACTTAAGGTCCTTTGATCATCCCAAACATGGATATTAAACCCCTTCCCAAACACTCACTACTTTATCATCTTGAGTGAAATGTGTTCTTGTACAGAGAGCCAGAAACTTCTGAATTCCAGGTAAACTGTAAATAGATTCACTGGTGCATCTGAGCTACTGTGGTGCATTCTCTGTAGGGCTGCAAATTGAGCTGATCCTGAAAGTGAAGGCCACGTGGAGTTATAGTCACTTTATTACGCATCATGTCTTTCAGGAAGCACATTGGTGCTCCTGGTCCTCATGGTAATATGTTCTGTTACTGGATTTCACTATAGAGTTCAGTGTTTCCTGGTTTTTAACTTTAAAAAACCTTTAGTACATTATGACATGCTAATCAAAGGGACTGTTTTCCACAAGACTGTTTTTGCAAGCTGTGGTCTGAGGCTGCCCAGAAGATGTCTGTGAAGGGTTCTTGGCTTTGAAATGTGATCTTCCTCTTAATCTCCCAGAGCCTGATTTGGATGATGTACCAGATACAGGGTAAACCCTATCTCATCCCTGAGGCATTCTGGGGGACTTGTGAAGCTGGCTATGGCTCAGGGGTGTGATGTGGCAGTCTAGCTTTGTGACCAGGTCAGAGCATTTAGTGAAAAGCTGCTGCAGAATACTGTTTCTTGGGAAATTATACATCACCTGGAATTGAAGGGAAATATGCTGAAGTGTAACAAATGAGAATTAGTAGGAAATGAACTGGATTCCCATCAGCTGACAAAGGGAAGAGCTTAGCTCACAGCACTGGTAGCAACCCATTCTGACAGCACTGCAAAAAGATACCGTGACTTCCTGCACTGTGCTCTGTGATCTAATACTTGCCCTGTCAAATGAAGAAAGTCTTTGGATTTTCAGGATGCTTGTTGAAAAAAGACAGTCTTTTCCTGTGAATATGTGTGTCTGCTTGTAGAAATGAAAATGCTAGATATTGGCAAAGGAAATAAAATTAAGGTAAGAGGTAGGAACAGTTACTAGTGATTCTAACCATTTATGTTATCTGTTTCCAAACTTACCTGCCAGAGCTAGAGAAAAAATATCCAGTATGTGTCCAGCCAGGCTTGGAAGGTATCCAGTGACATGCACACACTGTCATTGTTTATGTAAAAATCAGGCTTACAAGACATATATTGGATGATGCTGCTGATCTTAAAGCACACAGCAGTTTCTGTCATGTTAGCCACCTCTATCCAACAAGGACAGACTCTTGCTCTATTCCCTTATGAAACTCTGGCAGGGTAAAACATTAAGCCAATGTCTTTCTAAATTAGAGATTTATGTGTGGCTCGGTTTATTCTTTGATGATTTTTACTCTTTTATTTTGCTCAATTTCCCTTAACCCAAGTTCACATCAGATGTAATAGTAATGAATGTCATGGTGTAGGAAACATCCGAAAGGGCAATATGACTGAGAAGCTGGTTGACAGACCAAAGATGGAAAAAATATAGGGGGCAAACAGCTGTGCAGAGGTGAAGTTAGAGATAGGAAGGACTGACAGGGTAGGTGAACTGTCTTGTGGCTTGGCAACTGCAGTTTATTTTGTATAGTTTTCCCCATTCAGCAGTATAATGTGCTGTCACTGTGCTTTCTTATGACAGTTTCTCTTTTATGAGACTCAAGCGTCTCACTTTCTGAATAGGAAAATTCCCAACGTAGATTAGTCTCTGAATAATGTGTCTGAAGTTCGACTCTGATGATTATGGGTCACCCTTTCCTGTCTCAACATTGATTTATATTAAACAGGACAAAGCATCTGAGCACAGTGAGATTGAGCCCTTGGGTAGCACAGAAACTGAATCTTTAATTGCCCCCTAAGCCAGGTCCCTGAGATGGATCAAGAGGTTGCTTAATGCCTTGAGAGCTAGGATTTCCCAGCAGTGAAGTGCTGCCACTTTAATGCATTGGCATTCAGTAGCACAGTCCTCGGGCTGCCACACCAAGGCTGTGGTAGCATTACAGCTCTGGGGCAATTGATCCCTGTTTGGTCAATTTACAGAGCAGAGATGAGCATTTTCATTCATTTAATTTCATATGAGAGTCCCTGAGAGTTGTGTGGCCGAATCCCACATATAATTATGAAAATATCATCCTGCACTTCTGTCATCATTACTCCTCTGGTCAGCAGTAAATGATACTTAATCATCAGATAGCAAACAAATCTTAAAACTTAAGAATGAAAAAAAAGTAACCCAAAAGCCCAGGGCATATTTAATACTGAGTGGAGATAGAGCTATTTATTCATCCAAGTCAGGAACTAATGGGAAGGCAGTGAAAATGTCAATATTGCAAGATTGGCTTTTATTAGCCGTCACAAAATCCTCCATTCTTCTCAATCCCATTATGAGTGGGTGAGGCTCCCTGGGACAGAATCATCACTTTTTCCTCACAGCTGATGCCTGTGCTTTTGTTATTATTTATTGTTTACACTGCAGATAAGCCAGAGGGGTGCTCCATTGTCCCAATGACTAGAAAAATTTGTGTCTTCATTGCACAGAGACACTTGAACTTGCATGGAAATACCCATCTGCTTTCACCAAGGATTGGGTAAAGCTCCCAGGGAGCAAGTGCCTTCCTTGGGGCTCAAAAGCAGATTTTGCAGAAGGCAGTAAATACATACATGCTGTCAGATATTCCCTGTTACACCAAGTAGTGGTGGTGAACAGGGGATTTTCAGGTGTGTACTTCACTGCAACAAAGTTTAAATACCAGCATAGTTTTCCAAAAGAGAAGGTAAGATGGATCTCCTGGCCAAATTTCTCCCGGGGAATGAAAAATCTATCTACCCCAAATTCTGTTCAAAGTTTCAGTCGAATATAATATCCTTCACTTCCTGACCTAAATTGCTGCATTGTGTTGCTGAACTCTCTTAACTAGCCACTGCCTTTCACCTCAGAGGCATGAGCCCTGTAGGGCTGAGCTAAGCAAAACCTCCTCTGTTGTTTGGATATGCAATTAGTGGAGTTTTCCAAATGCTTTAGGATCCGTCTGGATGAAAGGTGCTTCATGAATGGAAGGTTGTGTTAGACAGGAAAGCAGATAGGTGGTTTGGCAGCCAGACAAGAATTCTGCTAGTAGCAGTGCTGACATCTCTTTTCTTTTTTTTCCTTCTAATTACAGAGGAGGGGGTTGTCTCAGGCACCTTACTTCAACATCTATGGAGAAAAAGGAGGCATGGAGCACCGCAGGTCTAGCCTGTTCCCCGAAGGTCCGAGTGACTATGTCTTCAGTCATCTTCCACTACACTCCCAGCAGCAGATCCGAGCACCTATCCCCATGATGCCTATTGGGGGTATCCAGATGGTCCACTCAGTCCCCGTGGCCCTTTCAGGTTTACATTCTCCGTCCACTCTGGCCCTGCAGAGGGAGGTCTCCGAGGAGAAGCAAAGAGGAACTGCGGAAATCCTTACAAAAGAGTCGTATAGTATTTCTAAGCACCACGAGAAACGTACCTCTCCGCACAGCTTGCACCCCGCTGCTCCCCCCAGCGCCCCCTCCTCGCCGCTGCTGCTGCTGGCGCAGAGCGCATCCGAGGACAGTGTCGTGGCTACCGAGAGGGAGCAGGAGGAGAACATACAGACTTGTACAAAAGCCATAGCCTCTCTGCGAATTGCCACAGAAGAAGCCGTTCTGCACGGGGCGGAGCAGCTGCAGAGGCCTTCTGAGCCTCACCAGAAACCCTTAGAAAGTGCACATTTTAGCATTAAACACTTTAGTGGATCTGAGCCGGGCCAGCCCTGTGCCTCAGCCACCCATCCTGACTTGCACGGTGGTGAACAGGACAGTTTTGGTACATCACAGACTGCGCTAGCCCATCCCACCTTTTACAGCAAGAGCTTTGTGGATGTCCAGCAGCTGGGCTTTCACAGCAGGAGCGACCCCCCATCAAGCACACAGGAAAAGAAAGATCCGTCATCTGAAAAGAGCAAGCCACATTGATCTGAGATGCATGGAGACTTTCACCCATACATTTACCCCACTTTTTTTTTTTTTTTCTAGAGATAGAAAAAGTATTCAACTTTACAGCATGCCTGTTCTAAGTTACAGTAGTTTGCTATTATATATACTTTTGTTATATCAAAAGAATTAGATAAAGTAACAAGTCATCATGAGCCTGACCAAAACTAAATTTGAAATTCTTATTGGGTCTGGTACTTTTAAATTGTACAGATGTTTGTGCCTTTTCTTTACTTTGCTTATATTCTTATAAGCATTTTTTTAGCAGTAATTTGTACATATTTTAGAATTTGTGTATCTGCTTTGTAATAAATGTAATTTCTTTCCTTTTTTGGACACTTGGATCTAAATGATGTAAAACAGAACAGCATCAATATATGTGAGGTTGCACTAAAACATATTTTTATATGATTAAAACTGAACAGCTTTTATGTACAGCTCTGATTCTGTAATACTAATATTTATTTACTTTGTTTCATAAATTGTAAATTTTTTTCTTAATGTTGTGGATTGCTTTTCTATGTGAAGCATGGGATTTACTGTTGCGTAATTAGAACAAAATGTATATTGTAAAACAAGATATTTAAACTAGAGTATCTTATCTTATTCTGCACTTATGCATTAGTTAAAAAAAAAAAAGATAAAAGATGTATCAGTCAGTTCTTAACTCTTGTAATTTTTTTTGTCTCTTGTTTGCTGGATTGACTATAACTTAAGTGCTGATTGTGATTTTAAACTGATAGTACCGTAAAGCATTAAAGTAAAACAATGTGCTATTGTGAGTTTTTTCAAAGCTTTATAAAACAGTTATAAATATATTAAAAGTATTTGGTCTTATGTGAACATGTTGATCTATATACTCCTTACGAAGCTATGGGAAAACATTCCACCCCATGTAAATATGTGCATCACTGGTGCCATCTGTGTAGCTCACCGGGACCGGCAGGATTTGCTATGCTGGTGCTTCCAGGAGCGGGACCGGGGCACTGCTGGCTGCCAGAGGGCAGAGTCCAGCAGTGTCCTGACCCACTGCCTGGCCTCCAGCAGCAGGGTGGCGAGGCCCCTACGGCCGCACGGAGCTGGGCTGGAGGAGCTGGCTGCTGGCCGGACACACGGCGCCCTGCCGAGCCCGGCAGTCCCCTGCTCCTGAGCGCTGACCAAGGGGCATAGGCGGCATGAAGAGGTGCCCTGGAGTGTCAGAGAGGGGTTTGGAGAGGAGAAAAAGGTGTTTCCTTGCGCTTGAACTCCACAGCTGGCCACTCCCTACTGCAATACCCGTGCCAGCTTTGGGGGAGGCTCCCAAAGGTTCTGTCCTGTTCCATCCTGTCCTGCGGATGGAGGTGCGTGGCCCTGCCGGCGAGGCAGAGAGCACCGCCACCCCGGCCTCTTCTGAAATGGGTTTCATGGGCAAGAAAGTCACAGTCTTCCAGTGTAGGGTCTCCACCTGGGCAAGGTTTGCTCCAGAGGGAAGGGAGGAGGAGCCCGGGCTTGTGTTTGAACACCCGTGGTGGGTTACCACTACCACCAGCAGCATGCGTGCACGCACGCACGCACACACACACACTCAAACACACGCATGCATACGCACAGATGAAAGAAACCAACGACCTGGATTATATTTTGTGCTATTTAGTGGATTATAAATCTGTGAAAACAAGTTTGTATATTGAAAATACATCTAAGGAGTGTTCTTTAAAAAGAAATAAATATACAGTTACATGCATGAGGTGTCTAGTTTTCATGTGTTCTTTGAATTTTCCAAGTTTATTGGTGTTCTAGCATTCTGCACAAGACGCACCCTTAAAAATGTGAGTGGCAGTGAAAAATGTGGACCATATATTGGCTTTCTCACATAGTATCAAACCAAACCAGCTTATTTCTCCGGTAATACCAGGTGGCGGCAGAGCCACAGGTGGCATGTTGTCATAATTCTAGGATGATGGCACATGATTAGTGTAAAACCATAATGGATGGTGACCACTTCTAAATATTAAAGCTTAGCTTCTCATATCCATTGCAATGTTCTGCCTTTATTCCAGATCATTGCGGTAACCTTGCCAAGATAAGCATGTGCCAGAAAACTGGCTCATCTCAGACTGCAGAGAGGAGAAACAGTATATGTAGTTGGAGATGAGCAGCCTGTTGGATCATGCTTCTATAAAAAAAGGAGAACTCAATTATACATTTTAAATAAACAAGCTCCATCTGATAAAAGCCTCTCTCCTCCTGGGCTTCATGGCTGTATTGAGAACAAAATGCTCTGCACAATGATCAGCTAATCAGGTAATCATAGATATTTTATTAAAAGGGAACCAGGCAACCCCTGATGGTAAATGCTCTATTAACATTGCCTTTGTAAGCAACCCTCTTACTGTGGGAGTTACCTCTGACTTGTTTGATTATTTTAATTAATTTGCAGCTGCAATTTGCCATCCACCTTCTCAGCCTTGGGGCATTTTTTTTTATAATCGGTGAACAAGTATCACTGAAATTACATGTGATATTTTGGGCTTACGATGGAGCAACACTGAAGAGGTTTCAGGTACTTACAATCTTAATTGTATTTCCTTAATGAGCTAATGTGTATACAGTGCTTTGAGAAAAAACATATCCTCATACAAGGCCTAAGACATCAATGATGACTTTTCCTGCTTTGGAAAGGGTGTGGAGGAGAAATGGCAAACACGTCTGACAAAATTTTCCCAGGCATGAGCAATTTTCAGAATCAACACAGTAAGCACAGCATCTGGGACTGGGGGGCAAATAATTCCACGAGTGCTCTGCCTGCACTTCCCCGTGCAGCCCCCTCCAAGCTGCCTGCAGAGATGATGGTGTGGGGCTGTTTGTGCCCCGCTGTGATGAGCCTAAGGCTTCAGCCTCCGTGCTGGGAGAATGCAGCTGCATGGCTCCCTGCCATGCCGGGAATGTCGGTCTCCAGGCAGGACTGGAGCTGCCTGTGTGAGGCGGCCTCTCTGAAGGGGATGGGGAGAGGGCTCCTCCACAATACTCGGTGCAGTGAATGCACGGAGGTCTCTTCAGACCCCGAAGTGTAACCCTGAGCTCTCTGATGTAAACGTTCTGTTAAAAGGGGTGAAAAGAAGCGATTTAACAGGGCATGCTAGAATAAACTGCAGAACCGAACAAGAATCCTTATATGCAATGTGCTAAAAAAATTCTACATCAGGAATATAATTACCTATTATATTTTCCAAGGAGGTTATCATTTTCTATGAAGATCCATATGTCTTTTCTGTAAAGCACAAGGGAAATACAGATGCTCTGACAAGCTCTCTTTATTTTCTTCTCTCAGAATACTGTCACCAGAGTCACTTCAGGACTTACTCGCGTCAGCAAGACAGAGGGTGCATCAGTCTCATATAACTGCCTGCACAATCCTCTCACGAAGCTTTAGATTCTGACTCAGGGTAGTAACTCCATAGCATGCTAAATACTTCTATGTGGACTTCCCCACTGCAGCACATACTGCCAGCAGTGGATAATAATTAGCACTGATAAAGGGCATCATTAACTATAACAGACCCAAATGCAGTCAAGGGACTTAAGTACAAAAATTTCAGTTCAAGAATGCTGCAGTCAATTTCCATTTAACCCTAGAGGCACCTTAATTAACAAGGCGCCCTGTCTTGCTTGAAGTTCTTTCCTGCTTTTGTGCATGAGGTGAACTTCTCTTCTTGGAACTGCCTCATGCCTCTTCCCCTCCCACATTGACCTGGACACCTGTATTTCTATTTCTTGCCCTAGATCCTCCAAGGTACTTACCCCACTGAGTGGGTCTTTGAAAATACCTGACATATGATGAAATATGCTGCCCTCTTGAATTACACTTTTGGCAAGTGCTGTCACCGCCTCTTACAGATTAATGTTCAATGATTTAGTCGCCATTTACAGTTATCTAAAAAAAAAAAAAAAAAAACAAAAAAACAAAACACCCCAAATCTGTGCTGAAACTGGCTAGATCAATATCTCTGGTCTCCTAGGAGAGTGCTCTAAAATGCTCCACAAGAAGTTTTTTCTTTCCTGATGAAGCTCTCCTACTGTGAAACAATATATTCTAGATTCATTGGATCGTCATTACTGTAGGCTGGCTATTGTCCCCAAAAAGAAGAGCTGTTGGATGTGCCCTGCTCAGTAGGGAGAGAGGTGCCTGGAAAGATGGTGTGTAGAGTGATGTGGCAGAGACTTAGAAGGATAAGGACTGAGTTCAGGCAGCTCCCTGCCTGAAGTCTTCTAGACAGCTTAGAGTTTCCAAATATGCTTTCTACTTAGCATCCAGCTCCTGTCTGAAGTGGCTGACTCTCTTATGTCCAATAGAGGCAGGCCAAAACTTAAAATTCTCTGCTTCAGAGTGAGGAATAGATCCCAAAAGTTAGGTGTTACAGTGCCTGAGTCCTTTATTGGGCTTTGCCCTAAATAGCTCAGGGAGGACAAGCCTTATTGATTTATTTCATTGTCCAGTGGATCACATCAATAGGAGTTATCCTTTTAAGTCATTTAGCCACCCCTGAAAATCTCAATCGATATCCTCTAAAGAATGTCCTTAAAGTAAATCCAGGATATTCAATGCAAAACCTGCACACCATATCATATAATTTAGTCTAGTCACTATTTTGGTGGTTTGTTGTTTCTTTTTTTCCAGTTAAAATGCCTGCATGAAAAAAATCAGCAGTGTGTGTACTAATTGAGTTTATTACAGTGACAATGTTCCCGTACCCTTTTCTCAAACACAGATTACACACACTAAACACAGACCCTGAACATATGCTTACTGTAAGGTCAATTTAAGATGAAAATGCTGGCTTGACTTGTTCTGCAATTATTCTTGGGGTCTCTACATATGCTACATCTATCACGTGTTTGCAACTATCTTTAATATGCCTGCTTTTAATTGGCTTTGGAGCCACCGATAGCGCCAGGAATGTGGGAGACAGCTCTCATTGCGAAATGTTTGGCTTTTGCCCCTGTGATGATGTCTACACGAGATAAGCTGATTTGTTGTGTGTACGTAAGTCTTTTCCAAGTGATGGTGCTTGGTGACAAAAATTCTTTCTAAGATTTTCTTTAATTTGTGAATATTGAGGTGGCCTGTACATGTTGTAGAGCTTTAGTAGGCATATGATAGAAGTAAAGAAGATGTCTCTATCTTTTAATACAAGATAATCTTAAGTGGAGGCAGATCTAAATGAAACTCATCCTTTTGGGAGCAAAGACCGTGAGCCACAAGAATCCCCATAAAGGATGAACTAGAATTCAGGACTGCTGTCTCTCTGTGGCAGCAAGAGTCTGCACAAGGCGCCTTGGGGTCATTTTCCCCGAGCTTTAAGAAATATAGATGGTCTTCTACTGCACTGTGCATTGCTGTATATGTTGCAAAATCATGTCCTACAGGCAAGCTTCTCACCCACGGCATATCAGGCACCAGTGCACCTCTGCTGTAGGGCAGCCAAGGGACTCTGGGAACCTAACACCTCCAAGGTCTGTTCAAGCATACAAATAGCCTATGAGATCTGCTTGCAGGCTGGACTGCAGGCTGGTGGGAGCAGTGCTAGAAGAAAACAACAGCTTTCTGAAAACCAGAAAAATTTTCTGCTCTAGTGAGCTTCCCTGCTTTTCTGCATTATATGAATATTCATCCTGAAGCTGACATGTCGAGGGGAGCTTGGTCAGCAGGAGGCTTAATAGATGAAAAGCCAAACAATATTACTATTAAAACTGCCTTTTTGGATACCTTCCCGATGAGTGACATCTCTGAACTGACAGGAGCGCTGCAAAGTGAAACAGCCGGGATGAATATGCATGGCAGCACACAGCCCTCTGAGCACCCAGTGAGCTGCAGAAAGCCAGTGGAGGCAGATTCAGCTCTGTACTGAAGAACAACATTTCTTTTCCCCTATCTCCTGCCAGAATATAGGAAGAGGCTGACACCCTGCCATAGAAACTAATGGAGTTTCCACATTCATTTTAACAGCAGGAGGTGTAGTCTCTGAAGGCTTGTTTCCATGAGGTGATGAGAAATCTTGCTGCTAAAGTTGCAGAGGAATGTCAGAGTACTTGGCATTTTGCCGTTTCAACCTCCTTCGTTCCCATCTGCTCCTAGAGAAGCAAAGGTCTTTGCCTGGTTCAGCTGTGCTCTGCCGGGGCCTTGGGGGGAGGAGGTGGTCCCTGAATGTCCTTGTTTCTGGTATAAATACCCTGAATCCTCTGAGCACATTAGCTCATTAGCAGTAGTCTAAAAGGCAAAGGAAGATTGGGAAAGAACCTGTGTGCTTATTCCTCCTAAACAAGTATACACTTAAAATCTCTAAAGGGTTACTTTGAAAGAGTGACTCTTAAGAAAAGCCAGGTTTTCTGAAGAGCTAGACTTTGACTGAGGCACTAAGATGAAGTAGTCAGAATTTTCTGAAGTGCTGAGCATCTGTTGTCAGCAGAAACTGCTGGTTTCTGGCCACATGTAAAAATCTGGCCCTTAAAAACTTAATGACTAACTTAATAATGTCTGGCACTTCACCTCCATTTGTTATTTTCCACAGTCTTTCTTTCCTCCACAACATCTTTATTTAGCCAGAAAAAAGGAGGAAAAAACCAAATGAATGAAACAATGAGCCAATATTCATGGCTGAAATACCCTGTTCCTTTTTACTGCCAGGAAAAATGTAAATGATAAAGCGGACCAGTTTTGTGACGAAGTTTTTCCTCAACATTTCA